AAAATTAAAATATTGATCAGTGTAGCTGTCATATAAAAATAAATTAAATAGAATTTAATAATGATTTTGTTTTATAACGGGATAAATAATAAACTTTTTAAAATATTTTTTGTTTTTAAAAGATTTTTTTTAACCGATATTTCGACTTTAATCTATTATCATCATCAAGGTAATCTATAGTCAAGGTAAAAGATGGCCATAACGAGCTGATTTTCTTAATAATAAAATTAAAATATTGATCAATGTAGCTGTCATTTAAAAATAAATTAAATAGAATTTAATAATGATTTTGTTTTTTAACGGGATAATTAATAAACTATTTAAAATATGTTTTATTTTAACCGATATTTTGACTATAATCTTTAGTCATCATCAGGGTACTTCATAACATTTAAATAATTATTACATTATTATTTAACTATTGATCAATTAGCCCGTTAAAAAACAAAGTTATTATTAAAAATATTTGATCATTAAAACAATAAATTAATATAATATAATATAATATAATTTAATTTAATATAATTTAAGTTAATGAATATTAAATTTCTTTATGCTTCCAAATGAGTACAAAGAGTTTTCTTTTTAAACATTCATGTTGAAGAATGTTAGACGATAAAAGAATGTCAGAACTAAACCTTATAATGATTTATTCAGTATAATTTTATAAAAACCTACAAAAACCGAGAATAGCTAAGAAAATGCGAAGCCTACTTTTTTTAAAAAGAAGATGCGGGTAACAATAAGTCACTCAGCCATATAAGTCACAATAAGTCATTTAATGATATATTCGTATATCTTCATAGGATTATCCATTTCAATAAAATGTAGAGTTTGATATGGTATGGTGGATATTTGGCAATATTTTTTTGAAACATCTGTATGGTCAGCCAAAAATTCAATTAATCAAAATAATATAAAAATAATTTTTGTTTTTGTAGTTCACTACTTTTCAAAAGTTCTCTATGCAAAACCATGTTATTTAAATAGCTTTATATGAACTATGAAATATATTTTGTAATTTGCCCATGTTTTCACAATAAATATATGAAATATTGGTATACGCAATTTTTCAAATATATTTTATCCTGAACAATATTATTCTGTTACTTATTCTTAAGAGGACACTCTATTGTCCTGTCAAATCTTATTTGATATTGGGATCAATTTCTTATATCTGACAACGTTACTATAATTGAAATTCTTGACAGCTGTATAGACGTTAAGTCCTGACTTGTCTTTTAAAAATAATCATGGTTGCCTTCGCTGTTCAACGGTTTTTAAAGGCTTATGGCTTTCTTAAAAGAAATGCTTTAAAGATGAATTTAAATTTAAACAGTTTTTGTAGTCAAAATGCAAATTTCTAAATCATCAAAAGTAATTTAAAGTATGAATCGTTTTAGAAATGTTTTGTTATAAAATCAAACTAGACTAATAATATAAATACAATATGTGAGTTATTTTTATGTAAAGACTTTAAAATAAAATATCAAAATAAAATACTAAAAGTTTTAATTTTTGATAGAACTGGATAGGTCAAATAGATAACAAATAGATAGTATTTGATTTTGAAAGTGAATTTTAAAACTGAAGAAATTTATTATGCATGCTATAAAAATTATATGAGCCAAATGTCTGATCTATCACCAAGACTTCAATTATTCAGAATCTTGGCATGGATGTTTTTGTAGAACTAAGAGATTAGTTTGTGGCATCGGCCAGGTTATAAAAGTTTTAGCTATAAAAGTTATATGAGCCAAATGTATAATCTGTCACCAAGACCTAAATTTTTCAGAGTCTTGGTGTAATTATTTTTCTATAAATATGAGATTCGTTTGTGGTATCACCTACAATATGAAATTTTATTAATATTTCTAGATATATGAATATAGCTAGATGACATGGACTGGCTTGACATTATTTAATTTCTCGGGCATTAACATAAAAATTTGACAAAAGAGCTTCAAATTTTATAAATCTCTCTAGAAATAAAAATTATTCTTCATTTTCCAAAATGCAATATTTAATAATATTTTTGAAATATTAAAAAAAATACTTAATTATTAGTAAAACGTAAATAAAAAAATATTTAAAATAAAACTTTTAATTTTTGGTTGAAAAATAAATTTTAAAAATCGAAGTTGTTTGGCATAAATTTCCCATGATAAATTATTTATCAGAATTTGGCAAAAATTGGAAACATATGTATCTAACTTTTGATTGAAAATTATTAATGAAAGAAAATGGAAATTTTTCACTATAAAAACATTTTAAATTTTGTTCAGTTTATTATAAAAATTAAAATTTGCTTATAAAAATAAAAATTAATTGTGATAATAAATAATAATTGATAAGTTAGATCAATATTTTTAGTTCTTTGATATCTAATTTAGATATAAAGAATATGATTTTCAAATCAACTCATTTTGTTCATGTCTTTCAAGATAAATAAATAATAGCACTAGAAATTTTTTTTTTTTTTCAATCAAATTATTGCACCTTTAAAATAGCTTTTCTAAGTAATGAATAATTAGTGCTGATTTTGATTCTTAGAAAAATATTTATGTTAGCATTAAAATTCTGAAAAAATTTATGACAGCAAAAATTGGCAAAAATTTTGTAAAAATTTATAGCTAAAATTGGTCAGTTTTTTTTATAGTTTATGTACATGTATAAAAAATAAACAAATTTTAGATTTTAAATGTGTTTCAAATATATTAAAAATAAATATTGAGTTCCTTTTTAAATTAATTATATCAACAAAAATAATTTAAATAAAAATAATTTCATTTAAATTCCGGTTATTATTATTTTCATTCTTTGCTTAAACTATAAATATTATATTAATTATAAATTTATTTTATAATTATAGTAATTAAGTTTTTCGACAATTGCGAAATAAAATTACTTTTTTAACAGTTGCATTAAAATAATATATAGTTAAATTATATTTTTATTAATATATATAAATGGTGAATTTTATACAGTCTAAGTGCGATATACTTAAATTCACTACTTGCTTCAACTACATACATATATATGTGTATACATATGTGTATATATATATATACATATTTCTATTGCAATTATTATAAATAAATTGAGAGGAAATATATTGTAAATTTTTTATATAAAACGCTAAAATATAATTTTTTTTAAATGTTTTATTAAAATTCGTGCTTCTATTGTTTCTAAAAATAAATATTTTAAAATTTAAGTAGATTAAAAAAAACATTAAACGAAATTGAGCTTGTAAACACCGACATAAAAAATTAGTTTAATGTCTTGTAATAAAGTTTTAATAATTAAATTTGAACGCATTTAGTTTCATGTCATTAAACTAGTTTTATATATTTTGTTAAACTAAACTAGTTCTAGACCGTGTTTAATACAGTGTTATTGGTTTTATTAAAAATGCAATGCAAGTAGTTTAGTTTTTAAATTAGTTTTAGATGCATTGTGTATAAGATTTTTCTTTCAGTACATAATGAGCAACTATTTTTGACATTTTCCATAAACAAACTCTGTGCTGGCATTTTAAACTTCCATTCTAGTTGTTAGCATTTCAGATTTTCTAACCAAAACGTATACAGAGAGAAAAAATGTAACACACCAACTGATTTTTAAATTCATTTAGTTGGTGTGAACACCGTGTTTACTTAGAACACATTAAATAACATTAAATAAATTTAAGTGAGTTTAATATGTCGGTGTGTGCATACCCTCGAATTGCTTAAAATATTTAATATACAAAAAAAAATGCACTTTTTATTTTAATGACCAAAAGTTTGCAAACTAATATTTGAACTGTTGAAATAATACACAAGTTTTTAAATTATTTTTAAAAATTATATTTTATTTTTACCAATATCTAGACTAGTGTCTATAGTCATTTTCAGGGTACTTTTTATATATCATATTTTATTTTCAACAAAATTTCGTTTATAATCTATAATCATCCGCAGGATACTGATATAAAATTTTTATAATATAGCAATAATTTAATTTCTTTGTCGTTTATATTGAATTATTGCTATATTAGAAAAATAATATACTAATAACCTAAAAATAACTATAACATATAGTTAAAATATTGAGGAAAATAAAAATTAATTTCATGTAATTTTGAAAAATTAAATTTGGTTTCCTTAATATTTTGACTATAGTCTATAGTTATGTACGGGGTACTGATATAATATTTTTTAAAATTATATTTTATTTTTATCAATATTTCAACTATGTCTCCAGGATACTGACAGAAAATTTTTATAATATAGCAAAAATTTAATTTCTTTGTCAGTTGCATTGAATTATTGTTATATTAGAAAAATATTATAACAGTATCCTGCAGATACTGGTATAATATTAATATTCTGTAGATTATAGAATATAGCAGAAATATTGGTATATATAATATAGCAAACATTTAATTTCTTTGTCAGTTGTATTGAATTATTGTTATATTAGAAAAATATTATAGCAGTATACTGCAGATACTGTTATAATATTAATATACTGTAGATTATAGAATGTAGCCGAAATATTGGTATAAATAATATATAATTTATAGGAATAATATAAAAGTTGTTCGAATAACAAATAATAACGAATTAACCTGTTTTAAAAATAAAAATAATAAAATAAAAAATTATTATATTTTGTTATAGAACAAAATTATTTTTGTTATTATTTCATTATTCAAATAGTTCAATTAATTTATTTCTTCATCTTAAATATTCGCCAATTAAATATGAAAAAAACAATATTGTGCTCTAATATTGTGTTTTATGTTATAAATGCCAATATTGTACCCAAATCAAACACTTGTTTAGTAAAATTTTTTACTACAATATTGTAACGAGCAGTAAACAATCAACAGACAATAAAATCATAACATTTAACTAATAATGAAATAAAATGTTTACGATTTCTATAACAGTTTTCATTTAATTTACATATATATAAAGATTTTTTACTAGTTAGCTTGGCTTCTATTTTTATATTTTAAAATACATACATTTTTATATATATTTTAGTTGTTCATTTTTTGCTACATTTATCAGTGATAAAAAGTCCATGGCAATTACTTTAGTCATAAATCAAACACTGAGCATCCCTATACAATCCCGACATCCTTGTAAAAAATGAACAAAAATTTTTGCTTGGGCATAGCAACAGTGGCTACGTATAATTGCACTCACACACCACAGAGAAGTATCTCAAGTAATGTATGTATGTGCGAATGTTTGAGTTCAAACAGAGGAAAAGGGGAGTTATGGCGTAAAACAAATTATATGGCAATTGCTGTTTATGCTCATAAAAATATTAAAATTATAAAAATAAAAATATATCTGCACTGATTTTGGTGCCATACACACAACAGTTGATAAATATTTTTTTTATAGTTCTTTTTATAGGTTTATAGGTTTTGTATAGCGACGGTCAATGGTTTGTGTTACTTCTTATCAGCGGACATACGTTTTCTATATAACACGCTACTAATAGCAAGCGCAACAATGCTTTAAAGTATTGTGTGCATTATTGTTTGCTGTTAGTAGTAGTCATTTTTGCTAAAATATATTTACTAAAAATTAACATTAAAGTATCTTCAATATCATCAGTATTATCAATATCAGCACTTCTTCAACTACTTAAATACATAAAAACTGGTACCCACGAATTTAAACTGCCATTGCTGTTTAGTCTCGTATAAAGACAAATTCATTATAGTGATTCCATCGGTTTTCTTCTGCATCTACGCCAGGTTTAGGTTCGGCCGCAGAGCCAGCAGTTCCTGAACCACAGCTACCAGCCAATCGAAAGCCTTGCTCGTGCAACATATCAAAGGCTTGCTCAATAAAACAGTGTTTGAGAAAGAAACGTGACGTGTAACGATCGGGACCGCCATGATCTGGGTCACGTGATTCGTTTAGTGTATCGCCAAACACTTCACGACATTGCGCCACACGTCCACACACAAGAATACGTGACAATTTACGAAACTTAACATCGGCCAGACCATCCTTGCCAAATTGAAAGCTGCCCCGATAACCAATCGTAATGCAGCCCGGTGGACGTGATTCACGTTCGCCGCGTATGCAGTCCAAGATGCCACTCAATTTGTAATACTCGGCCTCCTTTTGTAAACGTTGTTTTTCACGAAAACCTTCAGGCAAGTTGAGCTGCTTGTCACGCAAAAAATCCAGTATATAACGAAACAGCACACCATCACGATCGAGAAAGTAGCGTCCTTTACTGTCCTTGACTAAACCGTTCTTACTGCTAAATAATTCATGCAACAATGATGACTTCTCCTGCAACAGCGTCTCGAATGTGGTGGTGTAGTGTACCCCACCGACATTTAATTCCACAATTTCACTCATTGTGCGTGCTTTTTTGTATTTTAACTTGTGTGCCTTTGTGCGCCTTTGTGCTTGCCTTTGCCTCAAGTATGTGTGTGTAGACGCGCTCCACTACCAATTAAAATTGTTATCAAAACTTTGTTTTCTTATTGTTTTCTTATCACTTGCTGCCTCACGTGCACAACAATATACTACACTAGTCTTTGGCTTACTCAAGCGATACACATATGGCACATATCCAAACAACCAAACAATTTAAAGTTACTAAAAATTTTTGTTGTATCTACACTAAGGAATTAATTTTGTGTGCGTACAACTTCAATTTGGCACACTTTCTACGGTTTGTTACACTTTTCTGTGTACTGACTCCACACTTTTGTTTTTGTTATACTTTAAGTATTTTATTTACTTATCATTGATTTTATTTTTTCAGTTTTTCCGATTTTCGCGTCTTTAGGCATTGAATGCTGTTGTTGAACTGATTTTTCTTTGGCGCGTTTGTTGCGAATTTTCCACACACAATTCACAATTCACAACTCACAATTCAAGAAAATGTATAGTACAAAAAAGTTCAATATTTTGAGTAAAGTTTCCTTTGCTGAGAGCGCAAACGTACTGTACGGCATGTTGAGAGTGAGTTGTAGAGTATGGAATATTGTTTTGAAATACGAGTTCTTTGTTTACGAATGCGCTCTCTTCTGTTAACAAGTGGTCAAGTGTGTGATAATATGAAAAACATCTGAATCTGTGTAAATTTGTTTGCTTTGCTGGTTTTAAATTAAGGCCATAAGGCTATGCAATGGGTTAGATATAATATGATGATGATGATGACAGTGAATGATGATAACAAAAGTGCATATTTTTCGGTTGTTCATGGCGTATGAGTAGCATTTGTTATAATTTAATCCCAATTCGCTCTAATTTTCAATATAATTACAATATATTTATATATATAACACATATTATTTATACACAACAAAATTAATGCTTTAATAAGCTATAGAGAACACAAAAAAAAAATTGAGTTCAAAAAGTATTATTATATACAGTACTAAATTTAATTATAAAATAATTAAAAGCAATGAATTAAAAACAGAACTAATGATATATCAGCACATATATTTAGCCTCAATATTGGCTTTAGAAATATATTCTTCGATTTATATTCAATAATAAACTATGGAGAACAGAAAAAATATTACTTTATTATACTATTATTACTATTAACATTACTATTATTATTATAACCAGTAAATAAAAAAAAAATAGTAAATAATAATTAGTAAGCTTCAATACTAACCTTACAGATGAATATTTCGATCTATACTCCGTAATAAACTATTGAGAACACAAAAAAAAATGTCTTCAAAATATATTATTATAAACAACAATAATTTTAATTATAAAATAATTATAAACAGTAAATAAAAAAAAAATTGTAATTATATTTCTACATATTTTTAGCCTTAATATTGACCTTAGAAGTGAGTCCTTCGAATATATTTGGTAACAAACTATGGAGAACAAAAAAAAAATTTAATTTAAAAAATAATATTGTAATCTATATAAAATTTGAATTAAAAATAATTATAACAATTAAATAAAAATTAAAATAATAAATAATAATATCAGTATATATATATTTAGCAAGCTTTAATATTAACCTTACAAATTAATCGTTCGATTTATGTTCCGAAATAAACTATTGAGAACGAAAAAAAATCGTATTCAAAAAGTATTATTATACATAGAAATAAATTTAAATATATAAAAATTATATAGTTTCGCATGGCGATATTGATTTATATTCAAAAATACACGACTTTTTAAAATTAGTTAAAAAAAATATTTAATTTTCTGTCTGTCTCCTTGTATCGTGGTGGCTATGGTTATAACTGAAAGTTACGCGGGTATTATTTTTATATATTCATTACTTTCATTTGATGTGGAGTTGCATTTTACAATCGGATACTATGCTCTAAAGAACAGCAGAGGTGTGAGATGAGACTTGCTTCTTACCCATGAAAAAAACTATAATTAAACGTATAGTTTCAATTGCTATAGGTGGATTTTCTTGGAATTCCAATCGGGGGTTTATTATCACATTATACTTATAAGTATATTAAGAATACCGAGCCTTAATGGCAGGTAATCGTGGTTAAAAACCATGACTCTGTACCGACAGCGTAGTTTGGTTTCAAAAATGTTTTCTTAGTTGGTTCATATAAACATATAGGCCCTTCTGTTCTACTCGAACAAAAAATGGAAGCTCTGTCGTTTCTAAAATCTACCAACTAATCAGTAAAGATATTTATATGTTTTAATAAAACAAGGAATTTACATAGCTTACTAAGATTTTGTTAATTAACATAATATTTAATACATTATAATGTCGAAACATTTTTTTAATAGATTATTAGAAAAGAAAATTTGTGTAGCTATTGAATAATTTTGATATTAATTTTAATAAAATATTACAATTTATTTTGTTTTTCATTGAAAAGTAAGTTCTTTATATATATTTTTTTTAAATGTGATACCTTAATTTATTTTTAATTAGGTAATTTTTTGGGGCTCACCAAATAACTGTTTCGGATATAGCCGAATAAACCACATAATTGATTTTTGATGATTTAATAGTCCATGTATAAAAATTTCGTGAAATATATGAAAATAAGGAACTTATCATGTAAATCATATTTAAATAAAATAAAATAAATAATAAGATATAACTTTTTAACTATAATCTCTTAAATTTCTTATATTAACAATTTATAAAAATATTTATTTTACTTTTGTATTTATTCATAATATATTGCATTAATTAATTCAAATAAATAATAATAATCATAGTTTCATAACTTTAAAGATAAAAATAGGTGTTAATATTATTAACTCTAAAATAATTGTTGATGGATAATAAATAGTCTCTAATAAATTCTTAGCGGAGAGAGAAAAAGTTTTTCTTCCTTATAAACAGTGCATTCGTATAAAATTTTGTATTAGTTGTAAAATAATTTTGTAATGAAACAAATAATAAATAAATTAATTAAATTAAATAGTAAAAGTTTTTCTATCACAATCAAATAAATATTGTTTTATATACACAAAATTTTAATAAAATGTTTTTATGTAATTAAATTGGTCAACTCATTGTTTTTTCATTTTTGTTTTAATATTTTTTGTTTGCTTTAAAAAGGAGACTGTATATTTCTTATTACTTTTCTCGTCAGACATAATATATTTTTCATAATATTTCTGACTTGTGCATTGGTAACACTGCCTAATATTTACATTGTCAGTTACCCTTTAGCATCATCAACAAACCTCGATTTCAATGTCACACAACGACAGACTCCAGCATGCAGAGGTGTGGAGGCAAAACGTACATAAACAGATTTCGTGTTATTGTTGTTGATGTAACTGCTGTTGTAATTGTAGTAGTTGTTGCACTGAATAACAATGGGCTCAACTGTTGCCCCAGTATTCTTAAAATGACATACTACCACACATTCGCCTCCCTTCCATTAGTATATGTGTCAGTGAATGGGAATAATACTCACCTGTATGTGGTCAGTTTTAGTCGACAGCTTGTTGAGAAAATATATATATATATTGTTGTGCGTAAGACTTGATCTAAAAATATGTTTGTTTTTGTAAATGTGGGAAAGCCTGTGGGTAGCATTGACTTTTAAATTAACATTTTTTTATTTAATGCGTGGGAAGGAAATGTTTTAATTAATTATTTTGTAGTTCAATGGTCAAAAGTTGTGTACCTTAAGTGTTTGTGTCGTTTAGTAAATATTTACACGTATTATGTAAAATGCAACACAATAATATTGTAATATAGGGGCAAAAATAAAAAAATAATCATAAATCAATGCTCTTTAATTACTGATAATTTACAATTTATGGAATATGCACAAAAACTGGTTTCAAATTAATTACTCACTTTTTTGAATTTATTGCTTACATTTAATTATTGAATTTAAAGTTTAAATTTTTATTAACAAACTAATTGGTAACATTATATATATACATACCGTAATTCGGTGCAGGCCAGCACTCTACCACTGAACAATCTTGTAAGTTAAAGGTCACTCTAGATCAGTCTAGACGTTACCATGTCTCGCACATTTATCTAGAGTAGGATAACACCTGCATTCTGCTTGTAGACAAGCTGTTGGCATAACTTTATCCCTCATGTAAATTATGCCATTCAAAACACCACTAACTGTAAAAATAATTAATTAATTAGTTAATTATAATTACAATAAATTGCTCACCCGCGTCTACTCCTGTATGCCTATCCCATATGGTCTGCAATTAATTCTACTCAAATGGAAAGAAACCGCCTTATTGAACGCTAGGTTCTATGCACCAACTACAATCGTAAGCCCCATACTTTACAAAAAAGTTCAGATTACTTGCTTCTATGAGTGTCTCCTACTGATCGCCCGGTGGTAACTCACCCGGCTGCATAACGTTTCAACCCTAGCACGCTTTTCTCTATTTTCTTGCTGCCCATATATCACAAGCCCCAAACAACACTCACCTCATACTTCGATGAGAGTTGAAGTTCCCCTCAGTAGCTGTGGTTTTCGTGGCCCTGGCCAGAGAGTCTACAACTAATATACCACCAACGATTTCGCAATTACTCCTTCATTTTCACCGGCCCCCTTTCCCTATATCACCCCATGCCTTTTGGCTTAAATAAACTTAGGTTTTTAGGTGACTATTATTTTTGGCTGTAAATGTCTTCTTCCTTGACTTTTAAATAGTGATATTCGTTACAAATTTAGATCATATTTGAAGTCAAGATTCTCCAGTTTATCACTTGTGTATTAATTAAATATTTTTACCTTAATTTTGTTTTAAGTCGTTTAATTTTTTTGAGTCGTTACGTCCAAAATATTTTAAAATTGGTTTTTGTTTTTTAATATTTTAACATTTATTTTGTATGTTGTATTAAAAAACTAAAACCTTATTTATACCTTATTTAGATCAAGTGTATTCACATGAGTGCAAAGTCCATATAGTTGTGTTGAAGATATTAAGGAGACATTAATGGCACAAAATAAAAGCCAAACTAGGTTTATAATAATAAACTATGAGTATGTTATAATAATAATTATAAATAATAAAATAATAATATTATTTAATAAAAATAACTATCTAATAATAATAACTGTGTTATAAATAATAACTATATTATTATAACTATAACTAAATTATTAAATCAAATTATTTAAATATTGTAATATTTATTTAAAAGTCGTTAATAATTTTCAATTATTTTTTTTTTTAAATATAACAAACAATATTTTCCATAAAATCTGGCAATGCCATAGAATTTCTCAAATGCTTGCGTTATTTTACTCTTTCTCAACAGTGCTCTCTCGTTTTTCTTATGGGAATTTATACTTAAACATTTCTGAATTCTACGTAAAAAAGCTTCAATTATGCTGTTGCCA